TAGTCTAGTCTACCCTTGATTGGTTTAGTGTGGACTTGGTTCTTGTAGGGTTCCTTGCCAGAACTCAGCTCTACGCATGTGAGGAAGTGTTGGGCATAATCACGTACATCTTAGCAGATCCCTTGTCTTCCTTGGATTACAGTTTGAACCCCAGTCTTCATTTATGGATATTCAAATTGGCCCAGCATGGCATAGAAAAGAGCAGGAGCCTATCTGAGCATGGAAAATCCCACCAATTTATCTACTCCTTTGCCAAGAAGAACCTTGGAGAAATTTGTGTGTCCTTCTTACAGCTTTGTGCAAAGGTTCATATAGTGTTGAAAATTTCATGCAGCTTGTTGTTAATTTGCAGGGAAACTTTATTCTTCTTAACTGATCTTTAGAAACAACAATTTGATAGGAAAGCTCCATTGTGAGCATGCGGAAATGAATACAGGTAAAGTATGAGAAGGGCAGTGCCTTTTAGGAAAAAACCCACCACCCTATCTAAAACAGGAAAAGAACCAGCAATAAAGCTATGCACTTTGTGAAACAGATTTTGTGAGGAAAATTAATGAGCTATGTTGAACCACATACAAAAAGTTGTATTTGCAACAAAAAACACATAGGTGGGTGGAGAGTTACCTTGCTGGTAGTTTTCATCTTTTCTAAGAGAGAATTTGGTTGTGGTTGTCTAGTTTAGTTAGCTGTAGCCAACAATTTCCAACTGTAGATCAGTTTTCACCCACAGAATCCTCCTCTGTTTGATCTGCCAAGGACAGGAGCCACTTTGTTAGCTGTGATGACATGTGACAAGCTATGACTGTAAAACATTTATTTATTGGTCTTGACAAAGATATGAGCTGGGTTTCCCAGGATTAAAAAAAAAGTAGTAGTCTGGGGGATGAGTGAGAGGTTAGGATGGACACTCACTGTTGCCAGATTACACTGTGTTTGTTACAGACGGGGTTTGGCACACGCTTGTCTCAAATCTTCCTGTGACTGGGCACAGACAGAGCACAGACCTAATCCAGGATGTTCATGCCTGCGGTGCATTGGAAACCCTTCCTGTTTATAGACACACTGTTGGCATGTTACAAAGACAGACTAGACTGTATGCAGATCTTACTCTTCCTTTACTAGTTCATTAAAAAAATAGAAAAATATGAAAAAAGAGGGAAGTTTTTCATTTCGCTTTTCTATATAAATGTTTGTTAGCGAATACATTCAGAGTATTTCAATTACAGTTGATTCTAGTGTCTGATGCCAGTGTAACAGCTTAAGATTGTTTGCTTAATTCCTGAACGTGTGCATTGTTTTTAGCAAACATTTTTAATTTACATGTTTGTCCTGCCTCTCTTCAAATCTCCCATTGGATTCAGAATGTAAACCAGGACAGGCAGTTTCTCTGCCATTCTCTTTGCAGATGACTCTCAAAGAATCAGGAGTGAAAGGTGCCCCTACACCGGGTACAAAAGGGTTGATGAATTCCCCATCATGCATGAAAGTCCTACACTGAGAGAGAGCGCTCAACACGTTACAGGAACAGCTTACAGAAGCAGGGTGTGTAATTTTTAATAACTGGGATAAAACCCCTCAGTGACATCTTTAAAATATAAATGCCTTTTCTTGTTTCTTTTATTTCTCCCCCCCACCCCCCCACCCCCCTTATTTTGCCTTTTCATCTCTTCTCCTTTCAATTCCATTAAGCTTCATTGTACAATAATGTATCGCAGTGGACTTTTTTCAATTATGTTTTTGATTTTTTCCTCCTTGTTACTATAAAACTCCAGATGTTTTGAGACTTCATGGTTCTCTGGATATTTTTTCCTTTATTTTAATCTTCTTTTGTAACATGCCACACATGTGGTATTTTGGCCTTTTAAGATGCTACGCTATGCTAATCAGCCATAAGTTTTGGAGAGGGTTTTTTTTTTTTCTTTTTGTAATGACTGTTTTTCCTTCTTGCTGTCATCCTCTCTTTAATTTTTTTTTTTTTTTTTAACTGGTTAGTGCACATAAATGGACTCTCTCCTTGTCCTGGGGCTGCATTCATTATCTTCAGCAAATTAATTCTTCACTCGAAACTTGCAAACTCTTATATCTGTGAGTAAATGATGAGCCCCTACTCCATCTTGCATGTCAGTGAAATGCATTCTGTACAGAACTGTTTGCAGTGTAACTGGCCTCCCAGACCAAAAGCACAGTCTGTTATTTAAAGACGTGACTAAATGTGGGCCAAAATGCAAAGATATAAGCAAGAGTGTGGGACAGAATTTCAGTAAAGTTTCAGCTGAGGTAGGTGTAAGTAGGTGATAAGTTAGATGCAAACTGCAATTGAAATGTTTCCTTAGAAAGTGAGGTAAGATAATGACTTACTGATCCAGAAGAACAAAGTTTTGAAGTACATGTAGTAAACTCTATTTTTTGTTAAGAAAATCTGAAAGAACCGGAGGGAAGCATTTTAATTTTATTTGTGGTTCTTTGCTGGCACAGCTGGAGAGGTTTTTTAATTGATTTTGTTCAATCTTAATTTTGTCCCCAAAATAAGCAGATCTGGCTTCAGATACTGGAGTAGCAAATCTTGGATTGTGTGATGTCCTTCAATTTCTAATAGTTTGCAAGCTATTAAAAAAAATCCCAAATAAATAATAGTTTCCCAATTACATATGAGGAAATAAAGGGGCTGACATGTAGATTTCAGGAGGGATGTCTTTGCTTATTACATGACCATATGAATATGCATTTTGTTTTTTAAAATGTTGCTCCATGCAAGGTTATTTTTGCCTGCAAGCCATAATACTGCATTCAGTCCAACTGTGATGAGGTTTCAGAAAATTGTTTGGTTTCCAAATGACATATGTAGCAAAACCTTATGGCAAAATTTGTGGCTGTCATGCTGCTGATAGTAAGATATCCCCAACTTTCCTGGTTCGTTCTCATATGTTGCAGCGAATAAATGCAAGTACCCCTGTTTTGACAAATGTTTATCCTTCTACTTGATTAAAGAAGGATTACTAAAAAGAATTTTAAGACTAGCAACGGGGTCTTGTGAAAATGATAGGATGCTCTGATTGTTTCACAGATATTTTGGGTTTTGCTGGAAAATGTGTGGTTTCCTCACTGAAATGCTCACTGAAGTGCCTGAACTATGGGTACTAGAAGAAATAAATCTATGAACATTTCAGTGCTTTGAACAACATTCACCCCTTCCTTGACAGATGATAACTTACAATTACGTGGGCCAGACTTTTGAGAGACAAAAGATGCCAGTGCTACTTAGAGACAGGCTAAGACTCAGTGCCTGTCCCAATGAGTTGGTCTTCTGCGCTTGGTATGACGGCAGACCTTGAGAAATCATTGGCAAAACTCCCATTTAATGCCAGATATACTCAGGAACACAGGTACATCTATCTTTAAAAAACAAAACCCAGAAGCCAAATGTAGGCTGCCTCTGTAGTCAGGGAGAGGGACAGGCACCTACCAAGCAGGATGCGTCCCGCTGAACTCTCTTAGCTGGCGACCCCATGCTGGGCAGACCTGCCGTTCCCCAGGGACTCAGGGAGCTCAAACAACAAGGGCGTTTATTTTTTAGACAGTACAGTGAGAGTGGAGGAATCCCATCTCAGGGGATGTTGGCAGGCAAGTGGTTGGATTTTGCAGTCAGGGAAGTCTGTTTGTGTGTGGAAATCACCTCACATGCAGAATCAAACCTGGTTGCTGTTGAAAGCCGCATGACTGTTGCTACGCCTTGCGTGGGCCAGGTCTGCATTCCTTGTGCACCCATAACTCCTGGTACTGCCAGAGGGGGGTTCAGGAATGTGGACTTAGGGGCTTATAAAATTCATAAAATTGAAATAAAAGAGACAGCCCAAAGTCTTGTCTAATTCAGCATGCTGATCAAACACCTCCTCCAGGATTTTCAGTGTATTACTATTTCCCAGTTTCATGTTAATTAGGAAATATGCAAGCTGTCTAACAGCATAAAGAAAAATGAACTGCTGGTGTACAATGTGTTCATGTCAAATGGTTGGCTGTAATTACCCTAAAACCCAACAACGTGCAGGAGGTATTGCATTTATACTGTGGCTTACTTTTCTAGATTTTTTTTCTTTTTCCTGTTCTGAACCTTTTTACCTTTTCTTCTCCTACACACCACCAATTGTACAATAGTCTGGCTAAAGCCCTAAATCCTTTTTTGTAATACAAAATAAATAATAGAACAAGTACAAGCAATTTTTCCCAGAACTCAAATGAAATGTCATGTAGAAGTATCACTTTGTAAACGTAAATTGTTCAGACTTCAAAAATTGGCAGATCCTTTTTCTGTTACAGGTATCTTCCATTATTTTGTTACCACAAAGGGAAAAAGCAGCTTCTAACAATTTAAATCTGTAAACTGGCTATATGAACTGGGATTCTTTAGGAAGTTGAGGGCTCAGTCCTATGAGTTACTTTTTATGTACATAATTAGTTCTGTTGAGTTTAATAAAATTCCTTGCATGAGTCATGTTACTCATGAGCAAGTATTTGCAGGACCAGGGCTTTACATTGTAGCTACAATAGAGAATTAAAAATTAATCCAATCAGGAGTTCACTAGAAAAAACAAAGCACCAAATCAATATTTTGATTCTTGTGTTGGGTGAACCAACTCATGTGCTTAAGTTACTGACATTCATAACAGTTTGGAGCCTTGTATGCCTCCTGCCATGTCCCCAACATTAGACTCAGTGTGCTATAAAACATTGATGCTATTTAAAGAGTGGTGTGATTATTTCCTCCCCTCTAGAAGGGATACGTATCCTCACAGGATCCTTTTTCTCATAACATGTTTTTCAATAAAATTTTCCCCATTTTGTAATCAGTTGGGAAGAAAGAACATTTCACAATGTTCATAAGGCTTGTAGATGTTTTGACCAGACATAAGATTTCCTATTGATAGTATTAAATGCTTTGGAATGAAATGTTTTGGGTTTTCCATCTGTAGGCTGTCTGAGATGTC